TACATCTAATTAACTATACAATTCTTACATCTCTTGTATGACAATTAGAATACATTGTTTCATCAGTTGGATATCATCACTATTAATGGTAACTTACATTACAAAATTCTTATCAGGTCATTGCCACATAAAATGATGAAAATATGAAGAATTGTACTTTTTCCTATTAAATAATATTTATAAATCATGATGGATGCTTGTATCTGTACCTGTATTATTTACAGCCAGACTTGTTCTTTTCTCGAGTTCCACTTACAATGTTTTATGGGTTAAGTACTGAACCCTATTTATTAAAATGCTGTGTTTTTCCCACTAGCATACACCATAACTACTGTCTAGTAACTTTGTGTGTAATTAGTGACAAAATCTTTATAGAACTGAATTACTTTTGCTAAAAAACGGAAAAAAAATTAATAAATAAAAATTATAGCTTGTTTTTTTTTCAAAATGTTCTTAGTCAAAAAATGAAAACTATTACAAATAACGTGAACACTTGCTAGGTGTACCTACTTTTAATTTCCTTAATTAGTCTTCTACATATGTAGCTGTGTAATACAACACTTTAAACACTAGGAATTTCAAAATATTCTATTTCCTTCAAATGTCTTTCTGGTTATTTTTCTTGCTATTGTAGTTGGTCTTCAGTTCTTCTGCTGACCTTTCTATGACCACACTTCTCACCAGTGGTATTTGTAGTTCCTGTGATGACCTGTAGGAGCATAAAGAAATGTTTATCGAATAACTAAGTAACTATAATTTGTTTTGTTATTAATATAAACTGCCCACCACAAAGATTGAACCCGAAGAGTTACACGTAACAGAATGAGGAGCTAGGCTTAACGTAAAATCGGTCTTACAGCACATGAATAAAATGATGCAATGCGAGTCATGCCAAGTTATTTTTTTTTGCCGTTTACAAGATATTACCTACTGTTTGAGCTAAAGCAGAATTTTGCCTTTTTTGTTTTTGCTCAAGTACTTTTTGGATATTAATTCAAATGTTTGATTATCCTTAATAGTCCTCACTTATTCTTCAAACGGAATGATACTTCCAAAATGAATAGCTAAAACACACTTAAGCAACAGCCTTACTTTTCTAGCATCTTGGAAAAAAAAATTACACAAAATAAAATCTGTATTTAACAAGACTTTAAACATTCCTAACGTAAAAACTGTACTTACGCAGCTTAGGATAGTTAATAACGTAGAAAAAGCCAATACATCCCACGCATAGTTGAATGATTCCTGCAAGGCCTGCATGCTTCGGTTGAATGTACTTGTGTTGCCAGCGCCACCAAGCTAATAAAAGAAAAAGTCACAAGTTTGTTTGTTTTTTCTCCCAATAAAAGATACACAGTGTCCTACTCATGGAACAAGAAGTTGGGTATATAATTAGTTCAAAAAAACAAGCTTTATGTAATTTTTGAAAACAGTGTAGCCAATGTTAATGGTCAAAAAGTACATTTAAAGATCATGATCTGGATCTTTACACCAGTACATAACGAATGATCTATGAAATGTTCTGGTTAGCCTTAACGATGGAGTTTTGGTAACCCTTATCTAAGTGTACTCAACAATAACAATATTCTGAGCAACTAGTAAGTTATAATGTTTTGGTTAGCCTTAACGATGAAGTTTTGGTAACCCTTATCTAAGTGTACTCAACAATAACAATATTCTGAGCAACTAGTTAGTTATAATGTTTTGGTTAGCCTTAACGATGAAGTTTTGGTAACCCTTATCTAAGTGTACTCAACAATAACAATATTCTGAGCAACTAGTTAGTTATAATGTTTTGGT